CCCCGCCGTGACTTTAGGAAAGAGCCAATAGGCCGCCACAACTGACAGAGCTCGCGAGCGCCAGCTGCGAATAGTCGACCTCCACTGGATCTGCTACGCAATCAAGGGGCAGCCCACTTTCAACCACAGCGTTTGGAGAATCGGAGGGTTCAGCAGGGTTGCTACCAGCGCCTATTCATGTATGAGAATTTCCTCAGTCAGAAAATTGTGAAATATAGTGGCAGCACTTGAGCAAGATTTTTTTGCCCTAGTGCCGTGGTCGCTTACAGCATGGCGCCCCCATGATATTTGTTTCCTTTGGGCATGAGGCCGAAACTACTAATGAAAGGCGACAAATCGTAGTGATTATGCCCCTCGGTGGATGGCTGATTTACGGAGAAGAGCTACGTTGTAAACAACAGATACACATTCATCAACGCTCAAGTCATGCGTCCGCTTTGACTTGTAAAGGTTTGCGTGACGCATTATCTTATCCAGTCATCGAGTCGATTACAGCACCCTTGTCAGCCTCAAATACCAAGTTATATAGAAAATACGGTGTGTCCGATTTGCTGCCACTGCAAGCGCAGCCGTCCCTTTTAATATTCTGTGGGCAAAAAGCTCTCGCGTAGCAACATCCGTTGTATTTTATCTAGAAAATTCGCTCACAGAGGAATGTAAAGGCCGGCCAGCAGCGCGGCGAGCAACTTCTGACGGTTCAAGAGCATAGTAATGTTATGATGATTTATGCAAGCGTTGGTGTGGTGCCTGCGTCTGAAAACGAGCAGGCTGGACATTATCAGCCAAATTCAGCTTGTTTGGTGATAATATGAACATCGTCGTGAGCTCGATGCAGAGTGTCGCAACATTTGTTGCCTATGCATGGGCACAAATCCTTAAACTTGTGCAGAGAGGGGCGTTGCGCAGTTTGCTTCACCTCCTCGATAAATGTTTCGCTGAAAATCATCAGATGAGGACACAATTGGCATGTCAGAACTGGTGCTGAGTACCGTGACTATTTTCAAGAAGAATTACCCAAAAGTGTGGATCTCTAAGAAACAAAATGTCTACCGGCAAGCAGCCAGCTAAACACTTCATTGAGGGACAGCGTGACTGTAGCCTCATCGGTCACGGTATTGCTGACTGCAGCGAGATGAACCGTCTTGCTTGATATGCCCACAAGGATCACAATGCCGGTTTTACTGGATCGCGGTATCGGAGACCAAGACAATAGTTCATTTATGGGCAAACAAAACTCTGCCGAAGAACGGCAAGATGGTCAAAGTTGCCCATACAAGTGGCAAGAGTTTGACCCGTTGGCACACTCTGAACTATTCACACGTACTCACAGATGTGCTTACCCATTTTCATCTATAATCATCAGTGCGTAGCGTTTCATGAGCCGTATGTCTCTCCTCTGCCAAAGTGACCAGTCAATGGGATATCACGTACCTCGTACAGCGTACAGAACTTGACGCACTTATTATGAGCTACCAACAAATGCTGAGCCTTGATTGAGTGAGTGCTTTGATTTTGCTAACCTTGAAAAAATAGAGCTGCATACGTGCAAATAAATGCTTCGATAATTTTTCGCTTCTTTAAGATATCAGCAACGCAGTACATGTTGCATCTAAATTGTTAGCTTTACGTACCGCCTCGATGACCGACGTCACCATCAAGCCATGCGATAATTTATCGAGGGTGTAACGGGGCAAGTTTTGTAATAATTGTACTTTTCTACACATCTGTTACGATCATATTAAAAACAACATAGTACAAATGTATATAATAAACGTCTCAATTTATGTAAGCGTAACCTATCCCAATATTTATGAGTATGGCGAAACTTTTGAAAGGAGAAGTCTGAGGTATACACCGGCTGATAGCCGCAAATAAAGACAGTTGTGGTTTGTGAGATAGTTAAGCGTATCTAGTTTGTATTGGTGGTGTTACATATAATATGTACGTTCTCTTTCATCGGCAAGCAAACTAGCAGAATAAACCATCCTTAAGGCTCTCGGCTAAGCTTCTTGTAAGCGTGCCCGAGTACTTTGTACAATTTGTGAAAGCAAACTCTGAGAGTCAAAGATTTCATCTGTGTCAGCTGCACGGCAACTCCATTTTACTTGGTAGCACTTGTAGATGATAGGACACTTGAGCAAAAATTTCCTCTCGATTGTAACGTGTGCCGTCGAGCACTGTACTGATTTCTGGAAGGACTTTATCCTCTAGCGGAATGGAACATGAGATGCTCAAATGCATGTCCCTATGACAAGTATTCAGCCTTTTGTTTTTTTAGATCCGATGGGATCAGTTAGGTGATGGCTAATGGATGGGAAGCAGTAATCGCTCACCTGAAGGCGCTCATTAGCTTTTAATGGTGCTAGTGAGGCACTTTTAGGAGCGCCTTAATCGAGCGTCAATGAGTTACCGAATGGCTTCCACCATTAGGCTGCTGATGTTGAACATCCAGGCCGTCAAGGACTTAAGCGGAAAACATCTCTTTCGAGATTGAGATGGCCATGATTCGGCCTTGCTCCAAGTGGTGCCTCGACGTGCTGCGCTTAAGAGCTTATATGATCTTCTAACTTGAAACATAGCGACTGATATTGCGGGGTTGCGCACCTCATAGTAAGGCGTATCGAGCGATAACAAATATCTTGTCTTTTCGTATAGGGGGACAGCGGACTATGCCAAGAAGCTCAGACTCTGATCGCCGCAATGACGTCTGACCCTCTTGCGGAGGCGGTATTGGTTACCATCGATATGTAAATTCTCCTGATGAATTGAGACCGTGCGTCTTCAACCTACCTTTATTAGGGATCGGTCGGTGGGAAGGAAAAAAATGACCGCGAGTTTGGAGGCGAATTTACAATTTTAAAATGAGTTAATGGTTCCTAGACCACAATACTCTAAGGGTTCCTAGAGGTTTTACAAATAAAACTTTGGGATCTTTAAAATCTGATTCATACAATTAAGGGTGAACGGATAACAGACCTCAGCTTGAGCTTATACAAAATCTTGGGTGTACGAAGCTTGAGCTTCGTAAGGCCTAAACTTGAGCTTTTGTGGAAAGTTGAACTCGTCAGTCTCGTCACCGGTACAGATCCTTAAGTAGGAAGCAGCCTTCTGTATCACACCACACAATATGTTCGTGATAAGATGTCACATATGCATGTAGGAACACCATACCGTATTATTGGTTATAAATTCCCACGAAGCACGCAGAAGATACAAAGGTGTATCTTCATCTAATGGCGAAGTGTAGCCCATAACAGGAAATTGTACAGCGACCGCGTTGTAAGATAGAAAAGGAAAGTAACTACGCAGTAATTTGAAAAGCTCTAAGCTTTGCTCCTAGGTGGAGCGTAAATCCATCATCTCTTGTTTATCCGTTTTGTCAGCGTGACTCTGAAGTTAGAACTTCCTCTTTGCAACGTGCAGGACAATCACGTTGCAAATACTACCACGAATTCATTATCGTCTTTACTTTTGTACTTCTACGGTTGGCTTTAGTCCGCAAACCTCTTTACAGGTAAAAAAGCACTAGATCTAAGTTCTATCTATTTGAAGAATATTATGTTAAAATTAAGGTTAGCTCGATAATGATAGTTAGTAATTCTGTATTAAAATTGACCGTTGAATTTTTCTTCTTCATCTCGAATATTCGCGAGTCTTCTGAAAGTATCTCAGCCAGAGTGATGGTCTTTCAATCACCGCTTACACGGCTGTCACATTTGAATTTACTAACTACTAGCAACTAACAATGGAACCGGAAGCATTAAACGAGTTGAAGCAACTGCAAACCATCGAGCAAAAGGTCAAGGAAGTGCAAGAGAAGCTTGATACGCGGTTACCCACTCAGTATCAAAATCTTACCGCTATGGTATGTGGCGTCAAGTGGCGACTTAATACCTTTAAGCCCCACGACACCTCTGCTACTATCAAGAAGATTCAACTTGAACTTGGAGCATTTGATTATCGTGTAAAAGAGCAATCGGAACTACTTACACGCTACCTGATTGAGTTAGATGGTGTGTTAAGCTTTGGAAACGAGGACATTAAGCGAGCACGCAAGGAATTGGTCTTGTTAGCACAGCGGCTGCTATCAAAGGCTGATAAGTTTAAGGAGCGAAGTGGCTCGTTGAAAGACTTTGGAGATCGCACTTTGAACTACTTGAAGGGTTCCCTAACGGAGTCAATAACACCCAATGACAGCGGCGTGGAGTCTGACGACATGCACGTTAAGGCTTTATTTGAAGAAAACGAAATGGAAGATGAAAGCGAGTCTGAAGCAGCCGACGTAGACACTAGCGATGACGAAGAAATGGAACAGCTGAGTGACGACGAGGTAGAAGATTCTGGTGAGCCGGAGGCCGAGGATAAAAGAGTATATGAAGAGGGTGAAGTAATCTCTCCCGAGAAATCACCTAGACTCGAGCCAATTCGCGGGGACAGCGCTTCAAATGTTGATATCGACTCGCTGCCTGTCTGGCGTCCGTACTACCAGCTCCAGCGGCGGCAGGATGGCATCTACCTCATGGCACGTCTCAATATTACCAATCCCAAGAACGTCCAAGTGCGGTGTAATACGCAAGACGGTGTGCTTCGCATCACTGGCTTTCGGTTACCCACTCAAAAAGACATCGTTATGTCGCGACTTAGTGGCGCACCGACATTTGGCCGCTTTGAAATTATTGAGCATTTTCCCCCGAACATGCTTAATATGGACGAGGCGACACAACAGCTGATGGAGGATGGTACCTTGCAGATTCGTTTACCATACTACGTTGTACAGCACCCACTGTTCTATCGCCCAGCGTCGCTCTTTCAACCACAGGACTGCTTTGTTTGGTAATTGATTACTTAGGATTTGTACAATACATTGTTTAGTTCACACTGAAACAATTCAAGAGTTACGTTTGAAATTTGCTGATCCTCACAGCCATCAAGCTTATAAAATCAATTTGTTATCTGACAACACGTCAATGGCGATATAATCGCTTTTCTACAATCCCCCCCAAGCAAAGTCGCTATCGGACGACTTTGCCATAGACTTAATAGCCATGTCAGTAACAGTAGTGGGCACTGCCGATCCGAAAGCAAACGGATCTTCTGCAGCAGACTGACGCGGATCAAAGGATTGGGCGGCACCAAATGAATCCCACTCCTCGCTAGAAACATTGTTCTGTACTTGCTTTACTGGAGGTTTTTCCATATCCTTTGCTGTCGCTTCTGTTCCTAATTCTCCCACTGTTAATACACCTTTTGAAAGGGCGAATGCGGCATTCTTCGATATCTTGTCTCCAGAATTCGAATCATCCAATTGCTTGACACTTTCAGCAAAAGTTCCACCCCTCCTGACGGCCACAAGCCGTTTGATAACATTCTCTTTCTTTACCATGAGTTGTGCTGTGTGTTGCTGTAGCATTAAAAGTTCCTGCGTCAAGCGGCTTGCAACACTAAAATGGGAGTCAGAGCCTCCATCCTGTGCCACCTCCGATGCAACACTTCTCATCTGTGCATCAATCTGCATAGTTTGAATCTCTTGTTTGGCTGAATGCACATGTTTCTGCAATAAATTTTTAAAATCATCCATCGAATCCAACGACCTCGCAGAGCTAGGAACAGGGAATCCCAAACCGTCCACTTGATTCGCAATTCGTTCCAGACATGCCTGTAAGCTCTGTAGCGCCCTCGTTTCAGACTGATCTACTTCTGATAGTGATTCATATTCACGTTGTTTACTACGGATCACAATGCTCATCAACTCACTCAGAGACTTGGCGTCTACTAACGATGCTTCCAAGGGTTCTGCTGACGTGGGCATCAGTATAGCAGACTGGCTATTAGAGCCCATCAACCCCGTAGAGGATGGAAAAGACATAAGCGGTGTATTACCAATAGATTGTGGGCTATCAGAAGATTCTGGAAAGCCAGAAATGGGCGGCATCTCGGGTGTCAAATGTAATGTCGGGAACAGGTATCCCGGAAACTTAGGCGGAATCTTAACCAAATTGCGCTTTGTGATACAAACGATCAAGTGCATACCCATGACAAATTCAGTCTCGTTCATCTGATCAAAGTCCCGTAGTAAATGTTGCTCCTTGAGACGGGTATACAACTCCTGAACCTGCTCCTCACTAAGACTAGATTTTCGGAAGAATTCGAGAGCAGCATCACGTGAAATTACTGCACTAGTACTACCACCCAATTTGGCAAAAAATGCGCGGTAGCGGTTACCCTCCAGCTCAATCATTGTGTATAGCTGCGTATCAAGCTGGACATCATCCGATGGAGGAGCAGGAAATGCCGCAAACGACATGACAGAGAGACGAGTGGAATGCAGTTTTTGGTTAAATGTGGTTAGAAATGCGGCTGTTATGTGTCTCCATTTCTATTTTTATTCAAATCAAAACTTCAAAACATGGCGGGTAAAAGGTGGCAGCAGCAGAGACAAGAGATCAGGAACAAAGGAGTAAAGATCATCGGATTTCAAGTGAGATCGGCTACGAGTGCTGCAGGCGCGGGCTCAACGAATAATCTGCTGCAGTATTCAACTCGCGCATGTTGGCAGAGCTATGTGAGCCCAACGGAAACGCTCATTTTGGCGCTGTTCGTGGTGACGAGAGCTTTCAAATTTCCTTACGCAATACTGATGGATACTTTACGTATAGAGAAACAAAAGCATTGTTATCAGAAATACAAATTTTGAATAAGGTGAGTAGAGGTTTTGAAAATGGTTTAATTGCTGAGAGGAAGTTTGTGATAGAACGCATGTACGGTCAGTGTGAGCGTGGCAGTACAAAATAAACAACGATCCTACATTCATGGTAAGGAACAAGCTAGTGGTGAAGCATTCGAATGACTCTTTTTTGATTTAAACGTTATATGGTGTCAAGTGACGCGAATGGAAAATTTGCCACATAACCGGGAGGTACGTGTCTTGATGCCCTTCTTTCCCTGTAATTTTGTTCGGTACGTTCACGCTATAAAAGTCACCGTATTCGAATTGCTCATACTTTGCTTTACTTGCAGACTACATTTTGAACAGAAGGCACTACCTTATATTGCTGTGTATGCGTAAGCATTAGTATTATTCTAATTGCCAACCAGACGAAACGTTGCTGATGTCACCTTATGGTGATGAGCAGAATTCAGCCTCTTGGCATTTCTAGTGATGATATCGAAGCTGAGTGTGGTCCAGCTCTCTGCACGATACTAAATCAGACAACTGAGGTATTATATGCTACACTTTGTGCAAGAGTGTGTTCCTCAAGGTCGTATGCTGACTCATTGGGTTCACTTTAGAACCTTTTATTCGGCTCCTCTTTACGTGCAAGCCAGTCTTTTATGGACTGTCTTAGCGCCCATTATTCCGGGTTCGTGACTCAGCTTGATGTGCTTGTATGAAATCACAATTTGTTTGTAACAAGTTTGTCATAGTTCTCCCGAGTGGATGGCGAGTCGACGTAAATATCTTCTGGACGAAAGAATTGCGCGCTTGGAAGCTGCATTATTTGACTAGAAGATTACTTTATAACTTTGACGCAAGCCACTTGATTGCTTGCTTAACAGCCTACTAATGTGCTGTCGAAAATTGCCTCAGGCTTACAACATGAGAGTTTAGATTGCCAATGGCCTACACGTCACCAGGAGCTTTTAAAGATTTTTAGATCAGTTTATTTACCTCATACAGAAAACAAAGATTGTTTTCAATAAACAGCAGAATTGAGCGTTTATACACAAAACTATCCCATTAGTAGTTGAGGCTACCTACGACCTGTGGACTCCTGTGATAGTCAAAATCTGTGTTTCTTCAGACTGTTTGCGTGCCTTCTCTTATAAGGTCAGGTATGGTAGCAATTACGATCTAAAATTACTACGTTGCTGCAGGTGCAAACGTGACATAAGGTGTAACCTTAACATCCAAAGAGCCCTTGACTGGAATAGTGAGCGAGAATTCGTAAGTAAGTTTCCACGGGTCTTCGACAGTCTTGATATCAAACATACTGAAGAGGGTAGCCATAGTCAGCTTGATCTGCATCATTGCAAACTTCTGACCAATGCAGGCGTGCTGCCCAGATCCAAAGCTGCTAAACATGTACGGCGAAAGCTTGCGCAGCTTGCCCGTTTTCGGGTCAATCATTCGTTCCGGCTTGAATTCAAGAGCATCCTCGCCCCACATCTTCTTGTTGCGGGCGTTACAGTAAGACGAAAGCATGATCGTCTGTCCCTTTTTGACAAAAGTACCGTCGATTAAGGTTGTATCTTGCATGGCTTCACGTACTATAAATCCAGTAGACGGGTGGAGTCGGATGTTTTCCTTCACCACGGCTTCCAAGTACACAAGATTGCGGATTTGAGTTTGCGTAGGAACCTTGATTTCTCCTGTAAACAGACCGGGTATCGTCTTCATGATTTCTTCACGAATTTTGTGCAACACGTCAGGGTAGCGGTTCATGTTGACTATGAACCAGCCCATGCTGTGAGCTGTCGAGTCTTTTCCAGCAAAGACAAAAGTCATGACCATATCTCGCATAATGGTCGCATCATCGTCTTCAATGTGCATGTCGTCGGTTTGCTTCAATTTTTTGTCAAGAAACAGCGTGATAAGGTCCTTAGCTTCCATCGTTTCACCTCTTTCCGCGAGTTCTGCCTTCTTGTTAATAGAGTCGACGATAACTTTAGAAATGAATTCGTGCATGATCTTAGTGTTTTTCATCAAGATCTTCTCCCACCCAACATTCAGAAACTTTTTAAGTCTCCAGAGCCAAAGTGGCGATTGAATACGCACACCGAAAGCCACAGATCCTTCATTAAAAGCATTCAAAAATTCGTGGTCATCTTCCCGATCTGGGCTACTTTTCAAGGTGTTCATATCTATTCCAAATCCAATTTTCGCAATAGCATCCATGGTGAAATGACTCAGTTCTTTTTTCATACTAAAGCTTTGGCCTCGTTTCGAGTAGATATCCAAGACATCTAAAAAGTCGCTTACCTTTTCAAGAATCGTTAATTCCATGACCTCTCTCATCATCTGCATAGAGAACAAGTGGCTTGCTGTCTTTCGATGGTAGTACCAAGGATCCCCGTCAGAGATGACCATCCCGTTGCCAAATATGTCATAGCTGATAAATTGTCCGACGGGACCACGCAAGAAAACGTCATCTTGAAGCACCAGAACGTCCTCAAAGAACTCCGCAGAAGATAGTACAATAGTAGAAGGACGACCTGGTATCGAAAATAACCATGGTCGGTTGTCAAACGCGATGGATTGTTCATTAAGCCAATCGTGAAAGCGTTCAGCGTGGCCTCCAACGTCCAGAATGTTTTTCAAGATTGGAAGAGTGCTCGAAGGCATGGGCGGTAACCTCACATATTTACTGGATTTGCGATTTCCTGAGTGACGCACTAACAGCGTCAGTCCTACACTCACAGCTACTGCAGTAGTGACGGTGATGGCCACGTCATTTTTAATGCCGAGCAGATCCGAGACAGCTTTCATATCGACTGTTTCAGTGCTTTGTGTCTAGATTTGTGGTGGAGGGACAACGTGGCGGGAATGCACGAAGAAAGGGACTGGCAGAGTGACTTGAGAAACGATCTCCATCCAGACGAGACACTTCCTACTCCACATCTGCAACACCTTCGTGACGTGATATTAGTATGGCCATAACAATATGCTAAGTACATCTTCCGATACTCCAATCAAGATAAAAGTATACTGGACAAACAG